TGTAGATCAGCAACCGCTACATCTATGACACCGTTTTGCTGCTGGCCAATACTTTCCACAGAAAGTTGGAGGACAGGAAGTGGCACAGCATGGCCAGTCTGAGCTGCATCAGAAAGAACTCCAAGTCGTGGCAAGGAGGGAAGAGTATGCTGGATACAATTAAGAAGGTAAAGAAGATCCAAGAATCACTTGTTTTCTTTCAGGTTTGAATTCCTGTGTTGGGAATTACACTGAAATCCATTACAGAGAGAAAATAAACTGAAATCATCATTTCATACTCTGTACAAGTAAACTGTACAGAGCTCAGTAAAAACCTGTCAGTGACAGTGTTTTCGTTGTTTAAATCTTTTGTTTTTATGCCTGTCATTCTGAAATTTAAATGACTGAAGTGACCACATCCAAATTCCAGATAACATAGACAGCAACTGCTTTTATTCCATCATTAATGTTCTTAATATTACAGTGACACAATATCATTAACATGTAACAACAGTTTGAGGACTGACAATCTGGTTAATGTTGACGTCCTGCTGCACTCGGCTGCTGTTCAGTACACTGTGTCTACGCCTATTTAAAAGAAGTGTAATATTATAAAGGGAGGGAGGGAATAGAATAATCCTGAAATGTATTATCTTTATATTTGCAAAAATAATATATGTATATATATATATATATATATATATATATATATATATATACACATCTCTCAGTTCTGGCGGTTTCAAAATGTGATATTAAGCATTGTCTTCCTGTCCTCGATTATGTGTCTTGAAACAAACTTTTTGTCTTCAAATAAAAGTAGGAAATGTAATGGGGATCACTGTTACACCAAACAATTCAACAATGCTATTCTGGACAAATATGTGGCATTGTGATTTGTGTGGTGGTCGTGGGCGGGGACCCCGATGGCCCAATCCCTGGACAACTACTCTGGCTATGGGGACATGGAATGTCACCTCGCTGGGTGGAAAAGAACCTGAGCTTGTGCGGGAGGCTGGGAGGTCTGGGCTCTGGGACCCAACTCCTTGAGAGAGGCTGGACTCTCTTCTACTCTGGAGGTACTCGCGGTGAGAGGCGGCATGCTGGCGTAAGCTTGCTTATAGCTCGCCAGTCGTGTGTTGGAGTTCTCCCCACTGAGCAAGAGGGTCGCTTCCCTGCGCCTTTGGGTCAGGGATAGGTGTTTCACTGTTGTTTCGGCCTATGGGCCGAATAGAACTGTAGAATACCCGGCCATCTTGCAGGCACTGGGAGGGGTACTGGACAGTGCTCCTCCCGGGGATTCCATCGTCCTGTTGAGGGACTTCAATGCCCACATGGGCAGCGACAGTGACACCTGGAGGGGTGTGATCGGGAGGAATGGCCTCCCCGATCTAAATCTGAGTGGTGTTTTATTGGATTTCTGTGCTAGTCACAGTTTGTTCATAACGAACACCATGTTCAAGCATAAGGGTGTCCATCAGTGCACTTGGCACCAGGACACCCTAGGCCGGAGGTCAATGATCGACTTTGTAGTCATGTCATCTGGCATCCGACATATGTATTGGACACTCGGGTGAAGAGAGGGGCTAAGCTGTCAACTGATCACCACCTGGTGGTGAGTTTTGAAAGATTCTTGCTGTGTGAGGTGTCTTCAGGCAAGGAATAGAAGCAGCCGGTAGATGGTCGATTTGTTTAATAACAAAACGCCAAAACAAACAGGTCCAACGAGCTAAATAAAACGACTGGAGCAGTAGTCAAGAAAATCTCGTACAACAGTTACCAGTACGCAAAGTCAAGAATAACCTTCTTCTCAAGAATAACATCATCAGTGATGTGCACTTTTATACCTGTGTGGGGGGAGTGGTTTTCGGCTTCCCGGTTGTGTGTTTAAATGTTGTAGGCCAATGGAAGAGAGAGGTTTGGCCTCTTGTGGCCAATCATATTATTGTTATTGTATCATGGTTGTGCCTGCAGTCACCACTATGTGGTGCTGCTGCTCCATGATTCAGCAGTGTTGAAAGACATTTTATGAACCTTTTGTTGCTGAGCGGGGAAGTGGACGGAGCCATAAGGTCCAGCAAACAACAGGGGGTTATGTAGATCAAAGGAAGTGGATGAATACTTGAGTCCCTGTAAAGATATAAATCAGGAGTCTCTGTTTGGAAACAACAGTGAGTAGTAAATTATACACATGGGATGACCTTTGTAGTGTATATCTGTGTCTTATCAGTTTCTTGCTTTCAGGCTTAAACCAATGTGAAAACCACTGAAATCTAACAGTTGGCTCCGCTTGGCTCCGCTTGGGTGAAGCTAGACAGACCTGGCAGACCCAAGCGTATCGTAAGGGTCTGCCAGGTAAGGGTCCCCGGTAAGGGTGGCCTTCAACTGGCACCTCCAGGAGAGCTTTGACCAGGTCCCAAGGGAGGCTAGAGACATTGAGTTCGAGTGGACTATGTTCTCCACTTCTGTTGTCAACGCGGCTGTCCGAAGCTGTGGCCGTAAGGTCTCTGGTGCCTGTCGTGGCGGAAATCCCTGAACCCAGTGGTGGACACTGGAGGTAAGGGATGCCATCAAGCTGAAGAAGGACTCCTACCGAACCTGGTTGGTTCAGGAGACTCCTGAGGCAGCAGACGGGTACAGGCAGGCCAAGCGGGCTGCGGCTTGTGTAGTCGCGGAAGCAAAAACCCGAGTCTGGGAAAAGTTCGGGGAGATCATGATTAGGTTTATTCTAACATATGTGACGACAAAGTAACAACACAAAAGACGTCTGGATCTTTTACTTGCAAGGGGAGAGTGCAGCTTGCTCTTCTGGCAGCTTCCTCGTCAACTCCGAGTTGCTGCACCCTTCCTCTGCTCTTTTATTTAGTTTACAAAAGTATCAGATTACATATCATGTGATCGTGTGTGAGTATATGAATGGGTATG